CAACATCTCCATGCTCCGACCCCCCTCCGGTTCTCACAACCGTCGGCTGTATGCTGTGCTGGCGTGTAACCGGGGGCTCGCTTCACTCTCTGGGTCATCCTCCGGGGCCTCGGGGTCCTGGATTGGTCTCAAGATGTTACAGTGCGGTTAGGGAGAAGGGGGAAACTGCTACCAAACAAGCAGACACAAGGATTTCCAAACCCCCCGACAAAACCCAACATCACTAAATCAAAAAATGACAGAACAAGACTGAGACATAATCAGAGGAACTTGTATTTAGTGGTTAGAAAATTAACCATAAAGTTGGCTTGTGCTTTTATGGAAACATCTGCTTTTCTACTTTCTACTTGTGGGATAAGAACATAACACGACAGAAATATTTTAATACCATAATATGGGACAGAACAACAGCAAGATCAAGAGTAAAACAACAGAGTAATAATCTAAAGTGGGACAGTTTAGTAAAAATAAAACAATGGACAGTATGGTAGTATTATAAAACAGTAAAGTTAAAGTATAGAAAAAGATAGCATGGTAATACTATAGTATATAACAAAACATTGGAGAGCATATAAGTAGTGTTGTGTAGAACATGATAGTAGTAATATAAAGAAGTAAAGTGCATTAATACTTTAATAATACACAGCATAATAGAATTTTAAGGACAGTATAGTTAAAGTTTTTCTTTTCTATATAAAAATAGTAGAGGATAAAGCACAACATAGTAGTTAGTACTATGCAGTGATGTAGTATTATATATTATAATATATCTTATAATAGTCCTGTGTAGGACAGCAGGAATGCTGTACCTTGAGATTTTCCTTTAATGCTGTTTTTGGTTCATTTTTATTATCTGACTCTCTTTATTATTAAAACATCTTGTACGTTGTGCACGTCTGTGTGAGTCTGTGGGGGTCACATGTCCGTCCTAATGCCATTGTTCAGGTTATTTTTGTTCATTTGGCAGCTTGGTGCTTCTTCTGTAAGCTAAAAATGAATGAGCGGAGTTTGAACCCTTGTCTTTTCATGCGGTTCTGGCAGATTGCGGTTCTGGCAGATTGCGGTTCTGGCAGATTGCCGGTTTCACAAACTGAAGAGCTGACGGATCGACCGGTTGGCCGACCGTGACATCTGCTGCGCTATAATAAAATAATGCAACTATAAACAGTATATAGATAGTGCAGCGTGGAAAAGGATGACAACAATGTATAGTGAAGGATAATATAGTAATATTATAATATAGGACAGTATGGTAACAGTATAATTATGGTATTTTTGTGACCAAATAGTATAAAATACAAGTGGACAAATTAAAGCACAGCATAGAAATAACATAGTATATTAAACAGATTGTCTTTTGCAGTCCTGCTTTTGCAAAGAATAATATCATTACAGTGTAGAATAGTATGGTAATAGTACAGCAAAGTATAGCAGCCATAGTAACTTTGCCTCTTGATCAGTAACTGCTGGAGACAGTCAACAGTGAATAGATTTCCTCAAAGTTCAAGATTTTCTTTACAACTATGATCTCTAAAGCAAAGACAAATGAGATCTGACTTTTATAAAACCTCATCTGTGGTTGAAAGGCCAATAAAAAACAAAGACTGCCACACATTAACCCTCCCCAAAGCCTTATTTCAGTGGCTTACACTCAAAGTTTATGGGACATCTGGTGGAGATGTGCTGCCCTCAAGTGGTGAAAGTTGAGTTTCATCCCTTTAAGGTCAGCAGAAAATCACTTCTTCAACATCCAGAAGAGTCAGGAGAGAAAAACAATCCAGTATAGTGAAGCTAAAGTGTATTTTTCAACTTGATGAAAGGATTTGCTTTTGTTGTTGTTGTTGTTGTTGTATCTGTTTTGGGAGCTTAACTTTACAGTAAAGGTTATACTCAACAAACTTAACATTAAACTAAATAAATGCACAAAATACAAGAAATTCTATAGAATATTATTGTAAAAACAAAGTGGAAACAAATATCATCATTTCTGGCATTTCTCAGCATGAACTACAAATAACACAACTGATCACCAGAGAAATAAATGTAGCTTAAAGCAAAAAAAAAAAAAAATTAAGTAAGTAAGACTCACTTACTTAATTAAAAAAATCTTCTGTTGACGTATTCCGGTTTCGTAAAATCAAAACTCAAAATGTTGACAATCACACTAGTCCTTCGACATTTCTACGACAGCTGACCACGTGGTTCAAGTTTTTTACCATGTAGTTACATCAGTTGGCCAGTAAGTGGCAGTAAATGGCTCTACACTTGAAAGTCCACTGAAGAAGCTGAAGAGAAAGTAAAGCCATATACAAGCACACAAATACCAAAAAGACCAGCGTTATTCTGATCAATACACATGAAAGGACGATTACACTGGAAATGAAGTATGATTTATTTGAGAAAACATGTTATCTGTAGTAACAACACTGCAAATAAACAGAGTTTGAGGGAAAACCTTAGCATATGATGCGAACATAATAACATTTCAATAACCAACAAACTTTAAAGACCATTTAACAGTTTTGCTCTACATGTTAAAAATATTCACATCTCTTTACTTTGTATTTATGTTCCAAGTCAGATTTTCTTGCATTCTCTAAATCACCTTAAGGAATATTTATTTTAGCTCTTTAAATATTGGTATCATTTTAACATTGGCTTCACTTCCTCTTTGCAAAATTTTATCCACTTTGTGCTCAAAGAATGAGGAAACAGGAGCAAACTAAGAAAATTAGGCAGCATTATGCCTGTTGTCTTATCTTTATAGATTCAGCTAAAGAAATAATCTTGTTTGTGTCACACTGCAAAAAGATTCAGTGTATAACAAGTTCTGTTGTTTTCCTTGAGTTATGAAGATGAGGGTCAGAAGCTACATTTCTGCTATTTCCATGAAAAGTAGTAAAAAAACATTTAAAACTGAAGTAGAAAACTCCTTTCTCTTGAAAACGGTTCCTGAAGATCACCTTAAATAAACAAGAAAATTGAATCAATCCTGGTTTCTTGGAAGAAGTAAAATGACATCATTAAACATAAGTAACCATGCGGTAATTTTTAGATTGATACTGATACATTGGGTAAGACAAACCTGTATGCACATCACACTGCTGGTGAACATATTTTCAAATATACCTACCATTAAAATGCATCTTATTGTTTAGATTGTTTTGACAAAATCAATATTTTCAGTTGGGCTGGAACAATTAATCAAATTAATCGTGATTAATCAATTAACGAAATAATCGTCAGCTAATTTAGTAATCAGTTATTACTATACAGATTCTAAAAATGTCAATTTGCATGGACTTAGCTATCTATCCGTGCTACGGTAGGAAAATTTGACCAGGTAGCAATGATAGTCAAAACACCAGATTTAATCTGTTTGCTCTTGAAATGTGGAACAAATCTGATTTGTGCGTCACCTGGCAACTGTTCCAGCCAATGGAATGACAGCGTTCCACTGGGTGCGCTGGATAGCATCTCCTGGATGTGCTGCTTGAGCGGCTACCATACGAATCTGGGCCAGGACCAAGTGGTGCACAGGCAGATGAATCCTACGCGACCAAGATCTGTGGATCACCGAGGAAGCGAGTTGAAACAATGTCACTCTGGCAAGAGCTTGTTTATTCTGAGCCGCATTTTCAATTCAAGAAAAATAAATTAAAAAAAACAATAATACAATTCAAATTCAGTCAAAAACATCTGGAGTTTCCACAAACAAAATGCACAAATAAAATAACATAATAGCAAGAAGTTAATAAATTAACATCTACAACACACAGTAGATACCAACGTTTGTCCTGCTTAGCTCACAGATTTGTGGCAGTAAATTATTCCAGACTTCATTCAGGTGTTCATGCAGGTTGTAATCAGATATACTTGGTATGCAGAAGTGGACAGAGCAGCCAAAAATTGTACTCAAGTAATAGCAGTTCTACTTCAACTTATTTTTCCTCAAGTAAAAGTAAAGAAATCCTCTGGTGAGCAACAAGTACTTGGTAAAAACTTTACTCAAGTACTGGGTAACATGGTGAAATGATCAATCATTTAATATTTAAAAATGATGTCATCAAATGGGTTAAATTCTAAAGTGAAGTGGAAATGTGGGTGACAAAAATGACAATAATTTATAGAAATCACAAAAAAATAATAAAATCAGACAAAAACAAATTCAAATCAGTTTTTTTCAATAAACTTTTGAAACTTTAACAAAAATGGCAGATGTGTGAATTTTTGGTTAAAGCATGTTTTTTCATTCAGAGAGTAGAAAATCCAGAAACTTTACTCTAGTAAGAGTAAAGATACTTCCTAATCAAATTAGTCAAGTCACAGTAAAAAGTACAGACTAGTAAAATACTCCTTAAGGATTTTTTTTTGTCAAGAAACTTCCTCCAGTATGCTAATTGTATAAATATAACTAATAAATACCCAAACCTGATATAAAACAATTGTTAAAGTTTTACTCTATCATATGACCTTGGTGTGTGTAAAATGAATGTCAACATGTCAAAGATAAAGAAACAAGCAGTTCTGGTGCAAAACTAAAGCGATAAGACTCCCTGCGTTCCTTCTGCGTGGACTTCTGCCTCATTTTACTCTCCACCCGTTCGTGAAAAGAGCGTTCCTGTTTCAATCAGACTTGTTGCGACGAGTGGTGCTAAGTTTTATTTGCGTGATCCTTCTGCGGTTGTGTTTGCCTCTGCTCTGCATCAATGAGGCCCTGAGGTTTTGCAATCACTCCTCATTTCATTTCACAACACAGCAGCCGAGTGAAAGTATCCTTTCAGGACAACACGAATGTCACTTTGTCTCCCAACATGGGCAAGTTTCCATAAACATGCACGTTTGTTTATACTAAAAAAATACTTGTTTTTATCAGAATACTTGAGTTAATGATCTATATGGACATGAAAGTGAAAAGAAGAGGGGGAGTGTGAGTGTTAGTGAAGGACACACCTCTGTCTGTAAAACCACAGCATGTTGCAGCCTGTGGGGAAGGACACGATCTCCTCTTTAATGAACTAAGAGACTCAAAGCGGGACAGCAGCCGGATATTTCCATCCAACAACGACACACGACAGAACTCCCCAATCAGAGGTTAGTAAATCTGACGTTTCCTTATTTTACCCGTTTCTACCACATGTTTCTCCTCTGGATTTGTCACGCTACAAATCTGTGGGAAAGTATGTTAATACTTTTCGACTGCTCTGATCCACTGTAAATATTTACAAGCAAACATGGGTTCTCAGGCATGCTGTACAGGAAAAGGAAAAACAGAATTATCCACTTTAATTTTAAAGTATCTACAAACAAGATCATAAACCAGCCAGCTGCGGTCAAGTATCAATAAAATGATAAACTGATAAAAGTTGACTAAAAAGTGTCTCTGCATTAAATAACATTGAATTTCTTTCTTTTTTTTTTTTTTTACATTAAAAGTGATTAAAAGTGATTTTAAGATGATTTTAAAACACCAGTGGAAACATAAAAAACCTCATTAACTGAAAGCAGGGTTTTATAGTTGTAAAAAATAGAAATATGTTTCCAATTAACTATCAAAAAGGATACAAATAATCATTAGCAAACATTATTCTAAGTTGATACTTGGAAATGATTTTTTTTCCATAATTTGAAGGATGCTTGTCTTCTTATGTCAAAAACACATTTCTTGGTTGATTGAAAACTAATTGTGAGTCGGAATCTGCCATTGATCATGACATTTTATTAGCCTGTCTTAAAAAGCGTAATCTACACACAGATTAATTCAAAGAATGATAATTAAATTACTCAAATGACCTGCCTGTTTCATGTTCATGTAATCCTGAGGCCAGATTATTTCAATCTGTAATTTAAACAATTATTAAACTACATATGTTATTATTTGCGAGATATATGTGGAGATAAAATCCTTATACATTGTTTGGGAACCTGGGAATTTTATTGAAGCCATAAGATGAAAATATATACATGGTCTTCTTTGGATACTGGGCACAGGAAATGAATACTTAATAAGGAAATAAAACTTCCTGTTTCTATCCCTCACTTTTATTGGTATGTTGTGGTCAGTTCAAGGGTCAACTAATTTCTGACCTACAGATTAACACGCAATATGATAATAACATAACGTTTTTTGGAGATTATTCAAAGATTAATAAAAAATATTGTGTTGTAACACTCCTCTTCTCTGACGCACTGCTGCCAGTTTTCCTGCATGCTTTAGCCTGCTGCAGATTTTTCAGAGATTACATCAGGTTGGCAGACATCCTGTGGTTCTGTAATCCTCATCGTTTATGATTTAAGTGGTCGAAAAGCGTCTTGCTTCGTTTATTCTTCTGCTTCCTCTTTTAAGTCTGTTCAGACATTTAATACAAGTTTACAAAGCAAACCTTAAAAAATCATCATAATGATAAGGCAAATCCATTGTTTGTTAATGAAATTTATAACTGATGTAATGATTACGAAAAGCTTGTGTCTTCCTCAAACAGAAGTCGTTATAATCTGGGTGATTTGTTGGTTTAAATATGTTAATAATTAAATAAATGTCACTTAGAAAGTTGTGGAGAAAATTAAACCATTAGCAAGCTTCTGTCTGGGTGGATATGTGACCACGTTTCTCTTTTCAGAAGTCATTTGTTTTCAAATATATTGTTTCCTGGCATGGATGTGGCTTTCAGTCAATAATTGTTCAAAAGGGTATGGAGGTTTATGGCTTTGGGGAGGCCGTGACAGAGGTTTCATATTTCCGGCTTATTCTACTCTAAAACCGTTATCATCATTGTCCTGTTGAGCAACCTAACCTCATGTCTGACTATTAAAAGATACTTTCGTTTTAGTATGTGCTTGAAACATGCTTATATTATACGAACCAATCTTTTTCATTAGAAGTTTATAGCCGAAGCCAATCAAAATTATTTCCAATTGCTTTACAGCTCAGCCAATCAAACTTGGCCCTTTCAGTCAGATTTTACCAAATTTGTATTGAAACACTGTTAGGTGGTTATGCTCTTAAATTTTGCCATTTTGCAAATTTCACTTTTTTATACTTCAGTTGTTGTCTCAACTGCTTCTAAAAACAGTCCAATTTCATCCAATATATTATATAAAAAAAAATATATAAAATAATATATATATATATATAATAAAAAATAAAATTCCCTTCTCACCCACCGCGGTGGTTCTTATCCTCTGAGCTCGGGTCCTCTACCAGAGGCCTGGGAGCTTGAGGGTCCTGCAGTATCTTGGCTGTGCCAAGGACTGCACATTTCTGGACTGAGATGTCTGATGTTGTTCCTGGGATCTGTTGTAGCCACTGCTCCAGTTTGGGGGTTACTGCCCCGAGGGCCCCGATGACCACAGGCACCACTGTGGTCTTCACCTTCCAGGCCCTCTCCAGTTCCTCCTGAGGTCCTGGTATTTCCTCCTGACCGTTGAGTCACAATCGATGAGCACTGCACCGTTTCTTAGCAACCACTGTGAGTGCTGTACAATGGCTGCTGGAAAAGACAAGTGTTTTGTTGTTGACTTTTTAGTCAACAATTTTGAGACAAACTAAATAACAATATAAATTAAATAAGGATAGAATGACTATCTGATTCTTCTGCTTTCAGGTCCAGAAGGATTTCTGATTGTTTTTACAAACTGGTGATGAAATGTACAATTTCTAACTATTTCTCTTGTTTTTACGATCAAATCATTTTAGAATGACAGCTTCCACAAATGAGGAAGACAGTGTCGTGAGCAACGACTACGCCACCGCCATCGGCACCCTCATCCTCACCCTGGTTTTCCTCCTTGGCGTCCCTGGTAACCTCTTCATCGTCTGGAGCATCCTGGCACGCACCCGTAAACGCTCCGTCACCACCATCCTCATCCTCAACCTGGCCTGTGCGGACGGCTTCATCATGGCCCTCACCATCTTCTTCATAATATACCTGGCCAAGCAGACGTGGATCTTTGGACTCGTTATGTGCAAAGGCGTCTTCTACTTGTGCAACGCCAACATGTACGCCTCCATCTTCCTGATCACACTGATGAGCGCACACAGATGGTGGCGTTGTGTTTCCGCAGAAACTACACTGATAAGCAGACAGGTTGTGACGAGGGTGATTATGGGCATGTGGGTGTTGGTCATGACGATTTCCATCCCCTCGCTGGTGTTTCGAGAACTGGAAATTGAGCCAGATCTTAGCCAGAATGATTCACGGATTGTGTGTTCCCCCAATCACACCTGGCCCACTCATGTAAGTCCACTCTTCTCAAAGTGAAAACCCTGTTTGACTTGTACTTTCTACTGCTACAAAATTGGTGAAGCATTTGATTATTTCATCAGGCTGGATGGGGAGACAGAAGACACAAATTACAAAAAAAAAAAAAGTGCTGATGTTAACTGGATCTGATGTTTACCTTTATTCAAAATTGGGTAGTTATATTTACTCAGTTTTACTTATCTGAATAATTTTAGAAAAAAAGTACTTTTGGAGTATTTTGCTGTGCTGTTTTTACTTTTACTTCAGTAATTTTATTTTGAAGTATCAGAACTTCTTCTCAAATAAAATTTCTGGATTTTCTACCCACTGAATGAATAAACATGTTTTAACTAAATTTCACCAGAGTCAAACACACCTGCAGTTTTTGTTAAAGTTTCGTACATTTCTTACTGAAAAAAAAAAAAAAAGATTTATTTTGGGTAACCCTAACCCTATTTTTGTCCTTAAAACACCAAAATTTCCTCCTAACTTCAAATTTTGTTTTGTAATTTTCAAATATTACATGACTGATAATTTGTTCAGTCAAATTATCAACCATAGTAGACTTTTTAACCAAATACTTATTTTTGGAAATAAAATGTTTAATGATTTCTCCCAGAACCGCACAGGATTCTGGGAGAAAAGAGGAAAGACTTTGGCTGCTCAACCTCTCTGGGCCAAACGTGGCGGAATGAACTCACTCTTTGGTTACCTAGCAACTCACTCACTCTTTGGTTACCTAGCAACTCACTCACTCTTTGGTTACCTAGCAACTCACTCACTCTTTGGTTACCTAGCAACCTGTTCCGTATCTTGATCAGTCACCATTCTATCATTTTGGCATTATTTCAGATATTCAAGACAAACAAAAAAGAAATAGATAAATAATTACCAAAATCGACTAATATATAACTTTTTCAGCCATATTGTTTAGCCCAGCTGAAATGTATAAATAACAGATAAAAGTTGACTAGTTAGCAGAAAATAGTAAAATTAGCATAAACTAAAAGTAGCTGAAAAAAGAATGGATCTTGGGAATTTGAATGCCACATTTTTTTTGAATAAGAAAAATGGTTCAAATAAAACGATCGAGGTTTGTTCAACTTAAGGAACATAAAGTATTTTCATAAAAATTACAGAACCATAAACTAGAAAGGCTCAACAGTTTCAATTTTTCTTCCAAGTCAGATATGTTTTTCAGTGTCTTTCTACTGTGTTTTTCACTTCCTTTCCTTGCTCCTCTGGACAGGTCCGGTTCCAGTATTCTTTAGAGACGGTTTCAGGATTCATCCTCCCGTATGCAGCCATCATAACCTGCTACGTCCTCACCCTGAGACGCCTGAGGCAGACCCAGTTCCAGCGAAGGATTCGTAGCGAAAAACTCATCCTCGCTATTGTCATAACATTTGGCATGTTTTGGTTTCCATACCATGTAATCAACATGGTACAGGTGAGTAAAATCTTTTTTAACCTCTAATCAAACATTTCCGTTCTCTGTTCTTGGGTTCTTGTTTTCATTAAAGTTTTTTGTGACTCCCAGGTTGCAGCTGAGTGGTATAGCAAGGAGACAAGAACTAGAAAAATGTGAGTAAGATGAAATTGCCTTACATTCTTTTACTACTCTATAAAGATGTCTTACTGAATATTAAGGGAAAAATTGTTCATTTTGTTCACATTTCTGGATGGTAACCAATAACTATATTCTGCTAAGGCATCATGTTTTTAAATCTTTAATGTTTTATCACTTTTTCTGGTTGCTTTTTTGGGGGGGTTATCAGTGGTATTTCCTTTTTAAGGTGTAACCAGGCAATTTAAGGCTGGAGTAATTTGGTTAAAGATTGGTCTAACGTTGATTCAATGTTATCCGGTGCATTATAAACATACACGATTGCATAATTATAGATAATTTTCATCTACACTTTGAAGTGCTCCTTTCCCAATTCTCTTACAAAATGACTTTTGTCGTAAATGTTTTCAGCCCTGCAGCGCAGGAGACAGATTACAAATCTGTGCTCAATGTTACAACTTTTGTTGCAATGAGTTTGGAAAGGGAGGGAAAGGTTTCCCTGAAAATTTGTTTTTCCATTTGCACAGAAATGTAGGTAAGCAACTCACATGCTAATATAGAACCCTGAGGTACTCCTTTGGATCTATCAAGAAAAGAGGAAAAGGATCCAACATGTAAACTAACTCATCTGTAGATAGACCAATATAAGCAATAACGGTAGTTTACCAAAAATATTGTGGTCAAAAGTAAAATACCCAAATTTAACAGCAGCAGAAATTTTGCATGCCTCATTGTTCTGTCTCTTATTTTGAGTGAAGTATTTTTGTAAACGTCTACATCAACGCAAGAGTGAGAGGTTTTGTTTCTACAGGATCCTAAAAGTTGCTCTTTGCAGAACTTAATAGATTTTTCTCCATCTTTTTTTACCCACAGATTGGAGTTGATTCATGAGAACTGCCGAGCTGTGACCTCGGCTTTGGCTTTTCTCAGCAGCTGTGCCAATCCTATCCTTTACACCTTTGCTGGAAAGTCCTACATCAAGAAAAATGGCTTAGCCTTCATGGCTAAGCTCTTCGATGGCACAGCGTCATCGGACCAAACTGCAAATAAACAGAATCGCATAGAAAGTGGAGGAGAAATGAACAATATCTTATTAAATACCAACACTACATAATGTACCAATGGGCTAGATTGGCCCATTGGCCAATCTGGAAATTATAACATAATGGGCTAGATTGGCCCATTATGTACCACAGCTTGTGGTACATAATGTACCGCAAGCTCATAATGTATCATGTATAATGGTACGTTATGTCCCATTGGTACATTATGTCCATTAAATGGACCATGAATTGTAAAATGTGCAAAGCTACTTGTGGGAAAAACCAAGTTTCACAACAGAACTTTTACTTTTTCAAACCATCATAAATGACTACAGGATAAACTCTAATTTCAATGATAAGTCAATACATCCTATAAAAAAGTTTTACAATGCTTGTGGGATTACCAAAATAGTGTGAGTAAAAATGACAAAATAATGCTATTTAGTGATAATTCATGTATTAGTAGTTTAAAATGAAAGGTTAAAACTTCAGGATGTTTTCAGTCCTCATTGTTTTTGCACATTTCACATTTTCAGGGAATTAGCTGCAGAGCTAAGCAGCACATAAACCAAAAACCGCTTCACTCTTTAACAATATTTGTTCATTTATGTAAAGCCACAAATTGTCAGCTGGAAGCACTTTATATAAAAAACAGGGACAGTTCTAATTAATCTACTATAGTCACATTAATTACGACTATAGTCAGAATATTCTGTCAAAAGAGTCTGGTTTAACCAAATTAATGTACATCCCTAAAACAATCTAAGAAAAGTTAGTGGAAATTTGGGCAACACTTTATTTGACGGGTTGTGAATAAGACTGTCATGACATCATGTTAAACATAAACATGAGTAAGTCTTTATGAATATTTATGACTGTTGTCATAACTTTAGCTTTAATAACATAACGCTACATAATTTTAAGTCATAACAAAGACATTTTGAATAATGTCAACTTTGTATTAAAAGCGTCATGATTTACTGAATGACACTTTGACACCAGTGAAATATTCACAGACTTGCTTGTGTTCATGACAGGTGTTATTACATGTATATGACTGTGTTATTACATGTTTATGATGGTGTTATTCCCAACACATCAAAGCGTTACCAAAAATTGTATCTAGATTTTAAAAAAAAAGGTTTGCATTGCATTAGCTGCAACAATTCTTAAACATGAAAACACTGAGAACACTAAGCTGTTCGTAACAATATTATTCAACAGAAGTTGGAATAAATTATTATTCGCCTTTAAGGCTCAAGGACAAAAACTGAATGTTATAGTTTCTCAAGAGAAGAGCTTGACAAGATATGGCTATTATTCTACTTTAAAAAAAAGTTTACACTGACAGACTAAAACAATAAAAAAAAAAATAACAGTTTGACCATTATGTAAAAAAATAAAACTTACAAGAAAAATGCCTCTTCCTACTTCACATATTTAAGGGTGTAAGAAACAACTAAACCAACAAAAGATGAGCTGCCATGGAGTATTTGGGTCCAAGTTGGAATCTTACCTTAGAAGATAATGAGGAAAAAAAAATTTTACCCTGTGAGGCAACAGAGCTAAGAATTAGTCTGTACTTCTAATCTGTCCCAGCTCTTGCTTTTTGTTGTAAACATAAAAAACTACTGCAATGTTTCCCTTTTCTGCTTGCTAAACATCCATTGTATTAAGTTTGTGTGCTACTCTTTGTGAGAATTGTTTTATGCTAAAGTATAATCCATCAACCAGTTTGGAAAAAACATGGCAGGTGAATTGCTTTGTTCTTGAATTTGCATATCAAACTGCACTGTACAATTTTTGTGTTTCTCTCCTACTATAAAGTTTAGTTTTTTGTTTCCTGGTTTGTAAAGTATATGAATGAAACAGGGTTTTAAGTCAGGAAAAACCATTTCTGTACAAAACTTCCTGCAAATGGAGTGAAAAGATACCGAGGACTTTTACAAGAGAACATGATCAAGTGACACTTACTCTTTAACATCTGAAACTGTAATCCAGTAGATGATCACTTTTTCTGGGAGGAATATGACATTCCTCCACCAAGAGTATTATGGTCATGCTACGAAAATAACATAAAGTCATAATAGTTTGAGAATGAAGTTGAAATAAGAAAAAAAATACATTTTTATTCTAACTATTTTGATAATGATCTTATTCTTGTACATGTTTATTTTTGTATTATGACTATTTCTGTATTTTTATTTTTGTATGTCTCCAATTTTCCATTGTTTCTAACAAAGTAAAACCTTTGGCCAAACTATAGGAACCGAGTTGCTATAAACGTTTTCAGGTTCTTTACTGCGTGACTCAATAGTGATTCCAGCTACCCTTAAGAAAATAAAAAACTGAAAACCTTGGAAAACAAAACAGTTACACAAAAGATCTTTGGGGCTTTACTTTTTGTTTTGCAGAAAAGTTTATTGTCATTTAGGCCTTAAATTAAAACTTATTGGGTTTTTTTTTTACATGTAGCGCTTTCAGGATATATAACAAATCAGTAGAAATTTATCAAAATTGAAGCGTTAGGTCAACAAGTAGACTCCTGACATCCCACCTGTGGAGGAAAAGGAAAACGGTTAAAGATCAGTTCACTCAACTTAATGTTACAAGTGTAAAAATATAACTTCTGCATCCATTTGTTACTAGTCCACAAACCAAAATCAAAGTACAAGTGTGCAGGTCTGTAAACTACAAATGGATGCTAGCTAGCATTTGATGCTGCATTTAAAACCAGACAGTTCTTACCTCAAGTGGTTCTCCTAATGCATCCTTCCTGAAAAGGAGAAAAAGGGAAATTAAAGTTTAGTCTCAATTGCGGTGGGCAAAACCTAGAGAGCATCAGTAAAGTCAAACCCATCAGTGCAGTGAAAGTGAAATCATCAGTTTCAGGTGAAACACGGACTCACATGCAACTCATCATGCAAGGTTTGACTCCAAAAGTTGAGTACGACACACCAACGACATAAAAAGGCAATTTTCAGGATTTTAACCAAATAGCTCACAGTACAGCTACTAAAAGGGAAAACTAGAGGTGCAGCTCAATAAGTTTAAAAAATATATTCTCTAGTTATATAAAATAGTGTTTTTCTGAAAATGTAAAAATCTTCTACATTGAGAGCTCAATTTCCAACACATATGCAGAATTTACTTTCATTTTTGACACAATCGTTCCTGTGGCTCATGCACCTTTTTTTAGTACACCACACTTTTTCCTTCCACTAAACTTTCATCAATATGGTAGGTTTACAGCACTGTGCAGCACAAATTGTCCGACACCATTATGAATCTGCAGAAATCATCAAATGACTCTGAGCTTTTATTTAAACGCTTTTCTTGTCGAGTTCCTCCTGTGAAACCAAACCATGAGGTCGGTTTGGCGCTAACGCTGCAACAAAGCGCAAAAGAAGCTCCTGAACCGCAGCGATCATCCACCTGCTCCAGCATCAATGGCCTCACCAAACAAGAAAACAAACCGGACACGAAACATGCGACACTTACCGCATTTTAGGCTTTCAAACTACGAATTTTTCAGTTTCCTTGCAGCAGCGAGTCCTTCCTCTTGCTCCGTGACAAGGAAGAGAGAATGTTAATGAGGCTGCGCCTCAATTTATCTCTTTATCAAACCACGTGCTTGGCGTCACATACGGCACTTCCGGTTTACGGCAACGTTAAATGTAAAGTCACCACTTCATTTCTTTAATTATGTTTGCATGTTGCTGTTGAAATCAAGGCTTTCCACGTCCCAAATCTGCAATTTGACCAATAACATTGTAGTGAGTTAACTTCATATGGGTTTGTGTGTTCTTGTTTTATATTTACAGGCTGAAAATAGAAAAATAAATACTGGGGAAACATGTATATTTTCTTTAGATTTTATTTATCTACATACCCAGCCAAATGCTACAAAATGTCTCAACTTTTTTATTAAGTGATCAATATATTTTCAGCTTGGAAACAACTATTAAACTATTAACTATGAAAGAAACAGTCACAAAATATGGCTAATATTAAGTTTGTTGACTGCACATCATATTTAAATGTTAATTGGTTACAAAAACAAATCCGTAAAAACAAACCTGCTTTACTGTCTCAACTTTCCATTATCAATTGACTCTTTCTGATTGGATAGGTCAGTTCAATAATTTGAATTATGAACATTTTACTTCTTTTTTTGCTATTACAACCATACTTTTTCTTGTATTTTAAAGTATTTTAGTTTTGTTGTTTATCTGTATAAGATTGAATATCTATAAATGATTAAACTGATACACAGGCAATATTACTTATAAGAGAATAACCAAGAATATGGCTATTTTTGACATAAATCTGAAATAGAAGAAAAGGAAGTAAAATTCATAAAACTTACCTAAGTCTTTTTAAATCAAAATGATCCCAAATTAGCAATTATATCTAAAAGTATTCTCATAAATATAAACACGTTTTTCCATTTTAATAATGTATATATCATGCACAAATTGAACGTGATAGAAGACTTCTCAAAATACTATATAATTTGACGTGGAAGGAAAGTGTTGCATAGTTATTAAAACACAAAAAATCTGATAAATGAATCTATTTATTGAGCTTTTACATTCAGTAACCATCCATCCATTATCTAACAAAACCAGTAGGTAGCAGATTTTTCTAACGAATAAAAAAAGGGGAAAAAACTACAAATGTAGTTCACCATGTTGTAGTACGGAACGCCCACTGGTCCAAAAGAGGTAGAAAAAAAGCGTAGTGAGAACTTGGAGTGACACACAGAGGAGAAAACTGTTACCAGCCACGACGTTGACGAATTTAAAGTTAGCGTTGGGTGGAAACCTTTGGACATGAGAGTCTTAATCGGTAAGAAAAGCTATTGCAGTTATCTGTTTATTTTAAAATAAATCAGAAAGATGAAAACGGTTCAAGCTAGCTTGCTAAGCTAAGGTTAGAGCTGCTGACAAAACCTGGACTGAAGTAATATTTAATGCGACAGTTGATTCAGGTGCTTCTAAAGTCCTGCCGTCAGTTGAAACATAAAATGAGATCGCTGTATTTTGAATTTCGTTGTTATTTAAGCAAAATTATCGCATGTGTTTTGTTTTGTAAGCATGTAAAGTGCGCATGCGCACTATTCACAGCTTCTCCATCCTTTTGGGGGTTGAAGATGTCAGCACAGCTATATACTTTAAAGTATGAAATAATTGATTAATCAGTATATTATGCAATATATTACTATTTTAGTGAGAAGTTTAGATGATATTTTCTTAAAGTTGATATATTTTAAAATTATCTCTCCTGATTTACTATTTTCTTTCATGCTTACAGTCCGTATGTTTGATTTGTGTCTGTCTCTCAGGAGGGGGCACTGGCTTTGTGGGTCGAGAGTTGACACGCCTGCTCAGAGACAAAGGTCACGAGGTCACGTTGATATCCCGTCAGCCTGGTCCAGGAAGGATAACATGGGTATGACCAGGAGATTCAGCTCCTCAATCATTACCTTCTCTTGATTGATAATAATGAACTTTTCTACAATGTGACTGATTTAAATATGCCTGTAATTTCTTGAATTGTATCTTTTTGCTCCTGCAGAAAGAACTGGAGTCTCACGGACTACCGCCTTGTGATGGTGCCGTCAACTTGGCAGGAGAGAATGTTCTTAACCCCCTTCGATGGTGAGAACCCCCCCAAAAAAATTTTTTATTGTAATCTAACTTGGTTTTGAAGCCTATTTCCATCACAATAATAGAAAAACAATTAGAACTCATTTCTCTGTATGTATTTAGAATAAAATAGCCACCAATTTATCATAATTTTAGCTATATGATAGACCGAGGTGTGTAGAGTACCCCCAAAAAATCTCAAATGAGAGTAGCACAATTTCAACATATTTTCACTCAAGTAAAAGTTTAAAGTAGCCGTCCAAGAAATGATTCATGTATGAGTAAAAATGTATTTGGTATAAAGTCTACTCAAGTACTGAGTATCAAATAAATAACAAAATCAGGCAAAAGAAAATCTTTCCAAATCAGTTTCTTTCAATGTAAAACTTCTAAACTTTAACAAAAGCTGCAGGTGTGTGTCTGTGTCCGGCAAATTTTTGGTTAAAACATGTTGGTTTTTCATTCAGCGGGTATAAAATCCAGACATTTTACTCAAGTAAGAGTAGAAATACTTCATAATAACAATACTCAAGTAAAAGCAAAAAGTACGGCTTTTTTTCTCCTCTAAAAAGTTGTAAAAGTAAATGTACCTAATTACTATGGAACTGTGATGAGAAATATTTTTCATCACAGTGGCAGAGATGGGCTTCTATAGACCCTATCTATATTTCCACCATATTAATAAAGAATACTTCTATTTATTTGAAAATAGTTAGAATAATTGTAAATTTTGGAAAACATGGCTGGGAAAGTTGAATTTAGAAATAAACAGTGTGTAAGTGCTGTTTACTTAGCAACAAAGACAGGACTGCTCTACCTCAGGATTTGTGCTTCATAGTAACCTACTCAAAACCTTAAGCTAAAACTGTTTTATTTGCATCATGTGAAAAACCATATGCTTTTGAGCTTATACTATCTGCTCATAAGAGGCTTTACTGAACCTTGTGTATAAGGGGTTAAAAATAGTTGGAATAGTTTTTAAACAGTGTTTATAATAACATGTATTAATAACAATAGTGTAAATTTTCTACCTTGCCTTTTCTGGTATTTCAAAATGTATTCTGCTTTTGAATTAGTAACATTCTTCAGTCGTGTTGTACTTTAAATCAGATCTATAACCTGATTTTTTTGTCCTTCCAGGTGGAACGAAAGCTATAAAAAAGATTTATTCTCCAGTCGTATTGACACGACTAAAGCTTTGTCCCAAGCCATCGCTGCGTCTTCCAGCCCTCCTCACTCCTGGGTTCTGGTTTCAGGTGTCGGTACGAGTCTACGCTCAGCAGCTGCAAAAGGCACTAAATGTGATTCAGATTCACCATTGATTTTGTCTGGTTTTCCTCGTTGACTCACAGCTTGCTACAAACCTAGTCTCACAGCTGAATACACAGAAGACAGTGAGTGGACGCCCTTTGACCTCCTCTCACAACTCGTCAAAGAGTGGGAGGCTGCAGCGTTTCTTCCTGAGGATGCAGTGAAAACCACCAAACAAGTCGTCATTCGGGCCGGTACGTTCAGAGGGGCAGTAAAGAAGCTGAGGGACGTTTGTTCATGCATCTCTCATTTAGAGAAATATGCTAAAGTTTTAAATCACCTCTGATTTCTTTAGTTACTTCCAAAGAGCCAGACATTTTTGTAGACTGTAGTCTTAATCCACAAATCTCCAGCTTTTCTAAAGTTCTGTCAAAGTTTTATTTTGGGTGATTTTTTATTGTTTGTCCAGAATTTAAAGATAACATAGGGTCAAAGATACTTTTCAGACAATTTTCCACCTTGTTGAATCACGTTATTTCACTCATTCTTCCTTCCGTCCACTAGGGGCAGTGTTGGGTCGAGATGGCGGTGCTATGAAGCAGATGCTGCTGCCCTTCTGGCTCGGACTCGGAGGTACGTTGGGCTCTGGGAGGCAGCCTTTCCCCTGGATCCACGTCTCGGATCTGGCAGGAATCATCGCTCGCTCTCTGGAGCCCCCAGCGAACACCGAAGCCCCGCCCCCCTCACCGCAGGTGTACAACGGAGTCGCACCTGCGATCACTACCAACCACGAGTTCACCAAGGAGCTGGGTCGGATCCTGAGGCGGCCCACGATCTTTCCCGTTCCTGAGTTCGTCTTGAGCGCCATGTTGGGCTCAGAGAGGGCCGTGATCCTCACTCAGGGCCAGAAAGTCATTCCCCTGAAAACACTGGAGTCTGGATATCAGTTCAAGTACCCAGACTTGACTTTAGCTCTGAAACAGATTGTAGGGAGTTAATAACTAATGTTGGAACTTTATTTAATCTTTTATTCTGTAAAAACATGAATGAAAATCATTTACTGCCTTCTATACATTGGTAATAATGTTTAAGCCGCTTCATTTTAGGCAATGGGACTTTTTTCTCATTAAATAAATAAACACCAGATGTTTTCACTCTCATTAATAAAACTCCACAATTACATGACACATGCCTGATTAATAATAAATATTTATTTTCTTAATAATAAACATTACCATGTAGGTTTGACTCCTGAAAGCTAATTTTTTAATTCCCTTTTACGTATAATGTTGGGGGAGTGGAAATAAGTTTTCAACCTTCTCTTGACTGACGACTGAAAAATGAAATAATTTTGATCCCATGTGAGTTTTCTGAGACGACTAAGACAACAAAACATTTTTTTTATTTAGATAAAGCTAAATATGAATGAGTTTCCTAAATGTTCCTTCATTCAGTCCTCATTAGTTATAAACACTTTAAAATGTAATGTTTAACCCTCCTGCCTCAGTTCAATGTGATTCATACCAAGCAAATTAACAAAAATAACCTCTCAGAAGTGGCATAGCCTTCTGCTTGTCAATACAGCTGTGAAACGGTTACAACCTTAATTGTTGTTAGCAAATAAGAGTTAAATGTTTTTATTAGTACATTCACTTATCTGAAAATCTAATGCTAAGATCACATGATAGGAATTATCAGGTTCAGTTGCTGGATCAGG